AAATTTCGGGATTTTGTTGGACGAGAAAAACTAGAGTGTGAAATTAAGACACTGTTGTCCACTTTTTTATGACATTTGTGAGAAGATATTCCAGGGATTTTACCTGAGGATCTGTTGTTTTAAACTTATGTCTCACATTTTTTCCAAATACTTCATTCGTTTTTTCTCAATTATTTCTTCCCTGATAATTTTGGTTACGTTAATTTTGCTTTAAATTGATGTCTCATTCACAGGGAAAAAAAAGTTGTGATTTTCGAGGACATGTTACTAATTGCCAGGGCCAATTTATCACGCATTATTTGAGATTCGCGATTGCGAAATTTAGTAGTTTTGTCACTAATGTTCAGAGTAACTTCGCTGATTTTATTTTATTGTTTCATCACATTGTGAACTGCCTGAGACAAAACTCCTTGAAATTCCTGTTGAACTTCATAAAAATTTTTAAGGAGTTTTTATTCACCCGTAAACTTGACTTTTATTTGCATTTATATTCACATCAAATAAATCGTTTATTAGATCCCATTAGAGGATTTATTCAGAACGAAAGAATTGTCTGTCTCGTGTGATTAAAATATTTCCATTAAAATAAATACATGAGTTTCTTAATTTTCGACAGGAAAAATTTTTGACATGAATAGAATAGAAAAATTTCAACTAAAGTGTTTCACTGAATTCAAATGCGTTCTCCTCCAGATGTACTGCTGTAGTCTGAAGGCTATTATCCATTAATTAAATCTATATGGTATTTTCCTAGCTCAAAAAATAAATTATGAGATATTAAGTCGTTTTCATTTCACTTTTACCGATTAACTTTTCATTATTTCATTCCCCAAACCCGACGAATTTTTTTTGTTCATGTAAAAATTTTCCTCCGCTATATATCACCCCAAAGAACAACTCACGTGTGAATAGTCACACTGAAACAACTCGTATGAATGATTCGTTTGCACAATGAAACAATTCAATAGGAAACGATGACACTGAAAACACGTAAAACATTCGATACATTGAAAACGAGTGGAAATTGGTATTTGCGTTAACGTGTGTGTACAAAAAGGGGGAGGTGAAGTTCCTAGGGATTTACCCCATTCACTGGACAGGTGAGAGTGGAGGGCAACGTCATCCGGCCATTATCCATCTCTTGTTTCTACATGACTACACCCTGGAGGGGATGATAGCAGTAACGAAGAGTGCAGATGAGGGATCGACGAGAGTTTTTCAAGTGGTTTACGTACTGGTGGGAATATCTCACATGAGATGAGTGTGTAAAGCTCTCTTGCATAATGGAAAACTGATTTTTCGGATGGAAACAAAATTATCTCTTCAGAATTTCAAAGAATGAAGTGACAAATAATTTTTGTTATTTTTCTTCGGACTCTCGTGAGTTTTTATGGTATTTCTCTTCTTCTCGCACTCATGAAAAATAAAACGTTGGGCAGAAATTTCAAATGTTTTAAAATAAGACGTTTTTGCGTCTCCACACACGACATTTGATAGACAAAAGGTTTTGATGATGTTTTGAAACGCAAGTGACGAAATTCAGTCACTATTCATTGAAACCGTTAGGAATTTTTTGAAATTTTATGGAAAATATAGCAGTAATTCCGGGAGGGGAACAAAATGTAAAAACCCGAGAGGATATACATGGAAAATAAACTTAGCAGTAATTCCCATAGGAGTGACATTGAATCCGATTTAGGGGAAGAATGGCAATACAATTTAAAGTTTTAGGTAGAATTCATGGAAAGTCATAAATTTTCAAAAAATTTTTTTAAATTTTCCAAAATCAAGTGTTTTATTCAATGACTTCAATGACAAAATTTCCTGAAATTTCAATGGATATGAAACATAATAAAAATTTCTGGGATTCAGATGGACGTTTTTGGTGACTTATCCATTTTCTTCCAATTTATTGATGTTCTTAATTTATTCAGAGGGTCGGAAGGGTGCCGCGGGTATCAAATTAATTCAAAAATAGTATAATTGTAAAATGTATTTGTAAATGTAATAAAATCCGATGTAATTGTAAATGTATATAAAATCAGAAGGCCATAAAAACCTTATCAACACTTTTCACCAGTATTTGATCACAAAATTCTTGTACCCTCATTGTCCTAACTCGCTTTAAATTCAGCTTCATGACCGTTATTTTGAACGTGATGTGCATTATGTGGGTATATCTCGCATGAGATGCCAGTGTAAAGCTCTCTTTGCATAATGAAGAACTGATTTTTCAGATGGAAAAAAATTCCCCTCTCCAGAATTTCAAAGAATGAAGTGACAAATAATTTTCGTTATTTTTTTCCACACTCTCGTGACTTTTTATGTTATTTTCTCCTTCTCCCACTCGTAAAAAATAAAACGTTGGGTGGAAATTGCGCGACCAATTTGCATTCGTATCGTCTCTCAACTGCTAGTGGAGACAAAGCGGAATAAAAAGTTGGAGAAGATAGAAGAAGAAATAATGATTTTTACGAGCACGAGGTACAGTAGGCAAGGGCGAAAAGCTCTTTCACGACATTTTTCAGTGAGGAAAAAAGAGGAAACGCTTTTCTTCCGACTAGGGCCCTCTCTTCTCTAGTTGGTAATCGTTTCTCTGGAGTGGAATAATTTTCAGTCGGTCGCCCTGAAGTTAAAGGGGAGTGCCACTTACTTTTACCCCCTCGAGTTTTTCAGTTTTTTTTTCTCCAGGGCGTGATTTTACGTCTCACTCTTGTGGGCATAAATTTGAGGGGCTTTCGGGGCATTGAGGTGGAGGAGCAATTTTTGGAGGGAGTCGTACAGAACGGAATGAGCGATGATTCCAGAAGCGTTTAGATTATTTTTGAAATGTCAAGAAAATGAGGCGTTTGGAATAAAAATGTTGAAGACATTTTGGGGTATTTTGAAAAATTTGCAAACTCTAAATACATTTCACCACCAATATACTGCCTTTGTAGCTATTCGTCACATTCATTGGGGAATTTATTATATATGTTATGAAAATAAAATTAAATTTTCAGCAGAAAATGTTTCTCAATTATTTAATATCTAAGTCTGATTCTTTCAAAGATATTTTAAAAATAATGTTTAATTTTCTACAGAATTACGTCAATGAAGAAAATTAAAAATAATTGTTAAATCATAGTGTTTCAACTAGTATTTCCAAGACGATTTAATTCAAGACATTAGAAGCAAAAATGTGTCTTATCAGGAGTTTTCATTTCGAGGACCAAATTTTCATCACCAGAAGTCGATTTGGATTTTTATAATATAGAGAGATAGATGATTGTTTTTTTCGTGCAACATAGACCATTAAAACAAATGAAATACTTGCAAAAGCAGTGTGAAACGAAAGATCCTCCAGTAAGACACCTCAAATGTCAACAAAGAATGTCATCAACGACTTAAATTTGGTAACGCAAAGGGTTTTTTGAGAAACAACTTAAAAAAGGGGACAAAAGTGTCTTAATTTACAACACTAGTTTTTCTAGTGCGCTTTTTGAACCTATTTTAATCACGAGTGAATGACACTTTTGGCATTCCACCATCTCTTTTCGTGTTTTTTCAAGTTTATTCTGGAGATATAGATCAATCAGCAGTGCAGCTCGTTTCGTTTGTCGACGTGTACGCCAATGTGTCACTGCTGTCCTTTATAGAGGCTGGACAGCACCAGCCCCCATCCCCTTTTCGCGTATAATTAAAACAAATCGCAGCGAAAGCTGGAGGCGACGTTTAATCGAGTTGGGAACACTACTCCCCGTATCGTCACTGTCTCCGCACTTTTTCAGTGTCCACAATTCGTAATTATTTTATTCCACTGGGGGCATGCAATGTTGAATAGACAGCCGAAAATACATTGGCTTTGACCAATTTTTTCCTTCAAACTCAATTTCTCATTTTAATTGGGAAATTATTTTCGTAATTAATCGGGATGGGAGAAATTATTGGAAGACATTTTCTGTAGATGAGAAAATCCTCCACCCATACATGTGACGCATTTGAATCAAATAAAAATTTTTATTTGAAAATTTTCTATTCGTTTCAACAGTATCCTCGCTGGAAATGAATGAACTCCTGAATTTATTCCAATAAAAATGTTAAAATTATATGAAATAGAGCGTTAATTAATTGGAAATTCATCTTTTATTGGAAGAAACCATTTATTATAATGTATTCACCTGAATTTTCCTGATAACTATTAATTTTCATGGGGTAATTGAACAATAATTTACTGCTTCAATAGATTTTCTTATAAAATTGTGAATTTATAATTACGAAATTCCTTGAAATGTCAGCGAAATTGACAGTGAGTACAAATTTTCAAGAAGTGTACCGGAAATTTCAACCAAGAATTTTTAACATTGAAGCTTTATTGCGTGCCATTTGCATAAACCCATTTATTTCATTCAAATAAAGTTTATTTAATTCAAATGAGTCATCAGTAAATAAAAGAAAATTCAATGAACATTGATTCAATGTGATTATCATTTGTTTGGCCTAAAAAACGTAAAAATTACGTTTCGAAACGTAATCTGCGAGCGAAGTAAAATAAAAAGTGTGTGTCAGAACTGAAATTGTACGAATCGCCACGTAAATTCTACGATTTGTTCCGTAAAAATTAACCACCCATCTGATGACTCACCGCTGTGGGGACAACAAGTCGTTCCGTAATTTTTTACCAACGATTGAGAAATTTTACGGAACGAAACGGAGAAATAACTCACCAGCTTCATAAAAATTGTTGAACGTTCAAGAATTTTTTATTTTTGAGGCATAATAAGTCGGCAAGTTTCTGTAAGATTTTACTTCTTTGGGAAAAATTGCGTGACAATTTCGTACTTTGTTCGGTGATGAAACTGAAAATTTACTGAACGTTTCAGATTTCTTCACTTCCATTCCCATAAAAATTACCGGAAAACGACTCCCTAATCGTTTAAGAATTTTTCCAGATTTTTATTTCTCTCCGTGCGAATTATCCCGATCGCTGGAAAGATTATTTAATAATTTAGCCCACTAACCTGGAAGTCGAATTTATCAAACTCCTCTTGGGCCTCGATATCCGCCCTTCTTGGTCGCAGTAACGGACAGGTGGCCATGGAGACGCGAGCATCAGGTGCCTCACTGTAATCTGGCACAAGTGTTGTCGGTCTCTCGTATCTTACGCCCACGGGAGCGGCAAGAAGGGCTGGCGCTTGACCCGACGAGGGGGCCTGTGTTTGGCTCACGTAATACAGGCACAATAGTAACGACAGTAGTACTGCACACAGTAGAAACGTGCGGCCCGAGCCGCGACGCAGTAGTTTGTACATTTTTGCGATTTGTTTTTCCTTTTTCACCGTCAGTTGGGAATGCGGACGGCACAAAAATAAATTATTAGTAAACTTTAGTTTCGAGTATTCACACCATTTCGGGGAGTGGTTAAGGCCGAGGTCAAGCCCCTAGTTGTCACTGTTCCTTGGAGACTTCATCGGTGGTTTTTATACTGCAACAAAAAATTAATGACAGACATTATTCACTGGAGTGGAAATGATATTATCTTGTTTCACTGTACTGTTCAAAATTTTTACGTGGAAGTCTATCGGTTCGCTTTGCGAACAAGTTGGTGTGATACCGGCTGCACCCAGAAAAATTATTTGTTTAAATGAAATAAAGTTAATTTAAATAGTGCCAATTTTTTTTCAAATTGAATAAAAAATTTTATTCGAATTTTTCTTTATATTAAATAAATGTTTTTTTTACTATTTACAAATCTTTGTATGAATTAAATGAATTTTTTCTTTGAACATAATAAATATTTATTGGATAATGGAGTGAAAAATGTAATAAAAAATTGGATCAGAATGATTCTAGAAAGCTCACATCGTCTAGATTTCACATTTCTTGGATTAGGTTTATACAACTTTTTTCCGCATAGCTCACGAACATTGTTGAAACACACTTTTGAAATTCTTCCACAAAATACATGAAAATGTAATTTTCTCAAAACAGAAAAAATGGTTATGTGAAATAAATAAATTGTTATTCGATTAAAAAAAAATATTTTTCCAGATGTGGAGAAATTATTTTTGAAATATTTCAGCTATAAATTTATGAAGGGACGAAGAGCTAAGTTGATTGCCAGCCCATATTTATTTATATAAAATAAAAGAGATTGTAATCCACGTCATTCATACTAAAAGGAGAAACGAAAAAAAATTACTTTTGTTGCTATTCGCAATTCACTGCAGATCATTAAAGAATATTACACTCAGCGTGAAAATAACATTTCAGTGAGATGACACTCCATAATCCCCCAGATAAATCATCTCAGTACATTGCCCCCCCTGAGCAAAACACCGGGAAAACAAAAATATGATAAAAAAAGAAGAAATGAAAGAAAACGATTACAGAACCAAACGCACGAATGATCCTGAAAGGGGGATTCACGTTGAGTTCGTTTACAGTGAACAAGCGACGAGACATTTCTCGTACTGAGCAACACACTCTCATGCGCACATAACTGTGAATATATGTATCCACATAGGGGTAGATTCCCTGTGAAAAGGGATTCCCCCGTTTCCATCATGCGAAACGACATTATATCCCCGGCCATTTCCCTCAGTCGCTCTCGAACATAAAATCAGATTGAGTTCACAGACGGCGGTGGATTTTTTTCTTCTTTCGGGGCTTCAAAAGTCGTCAATTTTACCAACAAAAGACGAGACAAGAATCAACGAGAATGGAATTTGTGGGAGGAGAGAATGATAAAGTAACAAATAAGTTTTCACTCCTTTTTGAATATTTTTGTCGATTTTATCGGGCGAAGCTGGATGGAAATCGAGGCATGGAAAAACTGAGAGAATTTGAGCTTGTGAATATTTGTTATCAACTTGTACTGCTCCTATCGTGGTCGAAATGTTTAACTAGGGATTGAAAAATTTCCGGTGGAATGCTGGTGGAAAAAAAAATTGAAATTTCAACAATCATCTGCATTTCTCCGGCGAATCGGGAATTTGTCATGACGAAATTCCTTGAAATTTCAGTGAGACTGTCACTTGATGAAAATTCCTAAAATTTGAGGCTGTAAAGTTTTTTCTCCATGTACACAAAAATCATTAAATTGCGCTGAAAATGCACTGAAATTCCGAATTTTTTAACATAACTGTGATGAGAATTCCTCAACCTATTTGAACTTTCAGTGAAATTACGAATATTCAGTCCCGTTCCTGATTTTAATTCATTTCCAGGTAATAATTGAACTGTAATTGACAGTTCGCATGGCTTTTTCCTTGAAATTCTGAATTTTCAATGATGAAATGCTTTGAAATTTCAGTGGAACTAAAATGTGATAAAAATTTCCCAAAAACTACAGAGGAAATTTCAGCCAAAAATTATCGGTAAATCTTGAAAACTTCTAACAAATAACATTTCCATTAAAATTTCAAGGCATTTTGTCATTGAAAATTCATAATTTTATGGACAAATCCGTGGGAATTGTAAATTTGATTTCAATTATTCCGGAAAAATTGATGAAAAATCTGGAAAATTCTGCCAAAATTCTCCTTGAATTCCAGATTCCTCTGAATTTTCAGGGAATTCCTTCGAAATTCCTGAAATTCTAAGAATGTTAAAGGAATTCCCTGAAAATTCAAGAGAATTTGGTAGTGAATATTCATTTTCACTTTAAAATTTACGTAAATTGTGCCGCTAAAAATTGGGACTTAACTTGAATTTTTAGAGAAACTTGAAATTCCATTCCCTTTTTCCCCTTAAATCGAATTCCATGTCTTTTTTCGGAAAATCCAGGCAACTTTTTTCAATAGTGTAACAACTAAAATGAAAAAGGAACGAGAACAGCGGTTTTTGTTCATTTTTGCATCTAATCCTGTGTGTTACATTTGGACGAATGAAATAAAGTACTTGAGGGAATGGAAAAGTCACTGGGCTGTCGACCGAGGTCACATCTCTGGGGTTAACCTCTGGCGACGTGAAACCAGTGGTCCAGAGTTTTGTGGCGCTCATACGCGTTCAACTGAGAGAAAATATAGCAAAGTGAAATGGAAAACGTTCACATCCCAGCGGCTGTTTGTATCCCAGTCTAAATTACGTGTAGGCAAAGGGCGGGAGAGTCGAGGCAGTTGATTAAACGTCCAGCCGAAAATTATGACTGATCGATACTCTCGTTGCCACAATTACAACTCGAGTTGATGCCGAGTCACGCGTGATCGAGTGCAGTCGTTGGTCACAGTTGGTTCAGCTGTTGTTTTTGGACGAATTGATATTCGTTGGGTTATGCCGAGGAAGGAAACCCCGAGGACATTCATTTTTCCTGTGATTTAATAGGTTCAATTAATTTCATGTCAAGGTGAGGCTGATTATTACACGGGGAATAAAGTTGGAGAACAATTGCCAAACAAGTCATGTAATCGTGGAGCTAAATCCATTTATAGTTTTTTGTCACCCTATATCGAGGCAAAAAATGCGAGAAAATAGTGAATTATTCTCCGATTATTTGAGAAAATTTAGTGGACGTGAGTGTATCGAACAGGCGATACTCCCGAGCTAACAATTAACTGAAATTTAAGTCAATTTTTTAATAATTTGAAAAGAATTGAAAAATTCATTTTTTGTTTTGTGATTAATAGCCTGGTTTAATTCAAGATTACTATAATTGTCAATTGGATTTATTATTTGAATTTGGTTTGATCTTGTTATTATTCGTATATTCGTTGAAGGAGAGGGGAGGAAATGATGCATTCGATTGGAGGAAGTCAGCAGCGAAATGGAATAGGAGATGAGCTTCAAATTAATCTTTCGATTGTTTCGCGAATGTCTGTGGAAGGAAGGGGTTAATTAGTGATAATGTTTCTAAAAATTGGTAACAAAATCCTAAAATTTCAGAATTTTAGACTCGTTAAATTTCACTATTGCGAATCCTCAATAATTGGGGATCGGTTCCTGAAAATCAATGACATGTCCCTAATATCAGGGGATGTATCCGTGGAAATCCATGAAATATCCCTGAAAATCAGAACTTTTTTGCTCTATGGAGAATGAATTCATCTAAATTTTCCTGTTTTCTGTTAATTTAAATTATTTTATTAGAATTCGAGAAATTGTGAAAGTTCAATGACAAAATTCCTTCAATTTTTAGTAAAATTATCACTTGATGAAACGTGTAGCACCAATTTAATAACTTCCTCACTGAATTAGTCCCTCAAAACTATTTCACCCCACTTATTAACCGAAAGTAAAACCCAGAATGATTCATCCACATTCATTCCCTCGTGCTACCCACTCCCCCGTCAGCAAAAACTTGAGAAACTAAAAATCTCCGCGAAGGAATTGAAATATTTCCTCCTCTCTACGTACGAAGTGCACCCTTACCTTTTTTTTCACAGATGCAGACAATTCACATCTTGTTATCCTCCCGGCAGTGGTTCCTTTTCGCTGAGTTCGCCCGAGATTTCGTGTTCACTGAAGCTCCTTGCGAGAGAAGGACGACCAGAATTCTTTGGATGCTGCCTCGAGGATTTCCGGGGATTGAAGATGGATGTATGTGAGAAATAAAAATCCAGGGAGCAGATCCAAGAGGTAAAAAAATTGGGGGCAGTCTGGGTGCGAAAAAATTCCGGCGAAACTCTGTCGAAATTTTTTCCTCCTTGTTTTTTGTTTTTTTTTTCTAGCCTGTGAGACGACCAATTTTTGTTGGCGCTGCAGGGGAGAGGGTGAGGACACACGGTAGACTCGACCGCGACGTGTCAAGGGTACTTATCACGATTCACTCGACGACACGACGCCGGCGTCTTGTCGACTCACTGTGGATGTGGAAGCGAAAAAGAGGAAAAAAATGCGAATGAATTTTTTTTATGAGAGAATGGTGCATCCGTCGGTGGAACGGGGGAACTTCATCGGTGACGCTGGGGATGTAATTTGATTTTACTCCTCTTCACGCCCCAAAATAGATTAAACTCTAATTTCTTCGTCACGCGCTTCTTTGACTCACTGACGGCTTTTTTTGCGCTTTATTTCCGTTTTTTAGCACTAAAGGTTCGTTTTTTTTTTCACTGCGTGGGTAATGCAATCTGTAACATAAAGAGAGAGGGGAGAATTAGAGAGATTCATGGGGAAATAATTTTTATGGAATATTCACAGTTGGGAATTTTAGAGGTGGAGGAATTGGGAGGTAAGTGCAAAAGTTTTAGACAGATTATTCCACACGGAAAACAATTTTCTAGAAAATTACATGTGCTACCAATTTAAACAAGTCAGAAGTTGCACGCTTAAGAAAATTATTTTGTAGCACCAGAAAAATTATGGTGCCCTCAATAATTTTTCCGATGCTAAACTACAGTTTTTTTGATGCCACATACTAATTTTTCAAAGTGTGCAAGTTGTGACTCGTTTACAGTGATAGTACATGAAATTTTCTAGAATATTTTACGCAGTGTAGTAATGCTTAATGGAGTTACTAGGCTTAAGGAGCTTTTTTTGTGAGAAGAGGTTTGGAGCAAGAAAGAAGTTTCTAAAATTTTTCTTTTCAATGTTTCCTATAAGTGTGTTGGAAATATTCGCTGAATGGATTTTTTTTGCCTCTGGTTTTATTCTTGGTTTCATCATCCTTTTTTCCCGAATATGTTCGGAACAAGTACTCTTATAATTACATAACCAGAAAGAGCTTTTGAACTCAAGAATTAGGTAGATTCATAGATAAATAATGTTTATCGAATATTAATTTGTGAATTTTGGAGTTGGAGGAATGGAGAGATTAGTGCAAAAGGTTTAGTCACATTATTCTACCAACATTTGTGGGATAAATGGGTTGAGGGGAAACTGGTGAGGGAACTTTATAGTGGGGAGAGTTTTGGATTATGAACGAGATTTTCAAAATTTGCCCTTTAAATGTAACAGTTTTGGAAATGTTTGTTAAATGGAATTTTTTTCTTCTGATGTTATTTTTGGTTTCATTATCCTTCTTCGCAAATATATTCGAAACAAATACTTTTAGAATTAACCGACGGTAGTGACCGTGCGGTTAGAGTGCTAGACTCCTATGCCAATGATCCGGGTTCGCTTCCCGGCACCGGCGGTCAAAAATTTATAGCGCTCTAATCTCACAGTTTCACTGCCGAGCGGTAGTCCCGTCAAAAGGACGACTGTACCAGGGCAGGTTTTTCCCTCGAATGAGGTTTTCCCTCCCTTCGGCAAATGCGGTGCAGGGGATTGAGGGGGTGGGAAGGGAACAAATCGTAAAGACCCGAAAGGGTATACGAGAAGAAAAATTTTTACTTTTAAATTAAAGAGAAACGACCTTTTTCAGCTCGAATGAAATTTTGTCATAAACTTTTGTTATTTTGGTCAATTTTTTTATGATTTTTCTCAGCGCATATCGTCAGAGCGAATGGGTTAATGAATAAATATGAACCTCTTTCATAGATTGAAGAATTTTCTAAAAAGTTCTATGACAATTTCCTTTAATTCCCTTCTCTTCAAAGATATTTCACGAATAAACAGCAAATCAACTCCTCCCCTTTTCGATTTTTTCAACACTCAATTAAAAATTTTTGACTGAATTTTGCGAAGCATTTCTTCAAAATTGTTATCAAGTAATTGTTTCATTAAAATTGCAAGGAATTCTGTTATTGTAATTTCCCAACTTGATAAAGAAATCAATGGAAATGGTCACTTTCAGCAGAATTTAGGTAAATCAATTGAGTATTTCCTACAATTTGACACTGAAAATCTAAGTTTTTATGAAAAATTGAAAAAAGTTCGAGAATTCTATTGAAATTCATTGAATGTTCAGTGAAGTTTGCCGTTTCACGATTCCCAATTTAACCGTAAATAAAAATCGAATTAAACATCGCACTCCCGAAAATTCCTCCCAAATTTTCCATCCCACTTTAGTTTTCCCCACAGAATAAATCAAAACAACGCACTTCTGCGAAAAAAAAAGATCTTAAAACACGCGGAAACATGACAAAAACCATTCAGTCCGCTTTGAAAGGCTCGTCAAACTCGAAACCACCGGGAGCTAAAAAAACCCTGGAAAACGTGCGTAGAACAAACACACTGAACCCTCGCTATCTCCCTCTTCTCCCCTCCCCATTCACTTAAACCGCCGTAGTTTAACGTAAGCAAAAAAAAAACTTTCTAAAACGCGTCGATGTTTTCACCCTACAAACAAGACGAAAAAAACTCCGACTCCGCATCCTAAAAAACCCGGCAAAAAATGGTGTCGCAAAGTGTAACAGAAGAGCCAAAAAAACCATAGAAACTGGAAATACATGAGAAGCGAAATAAAAAATCAAATGAAGTAATTTGCGCTAATTCAACTGGCATTTTTTAATTGCTACGGACGCTCATGTGGCGTAAAACGTGGAAAAAAATTGAAAGCTTTTTTTGTTCTCCACATGATAGAAATTCCTCCAAATTCACTGAACAGGAAAGTCAGGAATAAAAAATGAAGGGAAAAAACAGTCCAACACACATTGAGTATAATAGCGGGACAATCGAGCGAGTGATTCTGCATGCATTGATAGTTCAACAATTTTGGGGCCGTGTTTGTTGAAAATAAAATGGTCTTTTGAACCGGCGGTTACCACATGGGGTAACACAGCTTTTTTTTTACTGGGGAGACAGTAACTTTTACGATGAGACATTCATTGACTTCGTAAATTCACTTTTGTTTTCATCACAATGAAGTTTACTCGTGGAGCAACTTGAGGTGGGAAAAAAGAGTTGTTGGTATTTTTTTTTCTGGGGAATATAGAATAGACAGCTACGAAGTGGTGCATGAAAGTATGCAAAATTTCCAGGAAGTTTTACTTAAATTTCAGGAAAAAATGCAGTAAGTCTAAAAACATTCCAATGTTTCAACAAAAAATGTGACAACATATGGTAATTTTTATTCTTGACATTTCAAGTAAACAATTTTGAAATGTTTGACGACGATGAAGTTACATGAAATTTATGTAATTTTGTTCACTGACGCATCAGTAAATTTCTTGGATATTCAAGGGATTCTCAATTTCAAGGCCCATAGGACACTGGAAAATATTGAAAATTGGGAAAATTCAGGCAACAATTTTTCTAAATTCCCAATTCATTGAAAGTTCAGTCGTATCTAATATTCAATTTTGATAATGAGTTTAAAAATTCAGGCTTTCAATGAAACCTCAATGATTACATAACAAGAAAAATGAGAAATTTCATGAACAATGTCAAGTTAGAATAAATTCAAACCCACGACTCTAGATGATATTCAGACTGAAATTTTCATAAAATAGTGACAATTCCCAATTTTGGCACTGAAGATCCACAATTTGATGAAAAACCAATGATGATAATTGATACAAATCAGAAATATTTATATAAATATATTCTTGAATTTTGAATTAATTAAAAATTCAAGTAAGTTGGAGAATTCTCATCTTCCTGCTGCTCAAAAATTTGAAATTCCACGGTATAATCAATAAAATTTGATAGTTCACATTTTTCTATCCTTAAATAAAATATAATGTCGCTCTATTGATAATGAATACAAAACTGTCCGTAAAATTTCAATTCCGTACTGACAGTGTAAAGACGAAATTCATCATCGCAATCATTCAGTTGAAATAAATCCATTTTGGTAGTTTCTCCCGTATGATTCCTCGGTGTTATGTTCACACAGTTACTCTTTCATTTTATTATTTCTCTGTCTAGACTATCGCGCTCTCGCCTATTACCCACCCGCGCAAACGGTTTTTTGTCCCTGCGGTCAAAAGTTTTCTGTAAAAAAAGCAAATTCCCTTTATTTTTGTCAACCAAAGCGTTACGGCGAACAAACTTTGGCCAAGTTTATAGGCACACACTGAGTTTACCGATACTTTACTTCGAGCCATCGAGTGTCGTGCATTCAGTCAGTTTTGCCTGAGTAGGGAGAGGGGGAGGGGAGAGGGAAGCCGCTTTGCAACCTAAATTTTCACTTCAACACTTTTTGCAGAAAATAAAATCAACAGAGCAGAAAAGTTCACACTCGCTCTGTTTCGTTCTCTCACATACGAAACAGGATAAAACTATAGAATATTTTATTGTTTTTTTTTCAAGGACGGGAACACGTCGAGAATTTTTTGGATTTTTAGAAAAAAAAAATTGTGCTTTTAATGTTTAAAAATTGTTTCAAAGTTTAGAAAATATTTTCATTGGAAAATATTCCATTGTTTTTCAAAAAAAATTGTTTTTGGATATTTGGAGTTATGTTGAATGAGACAAATTGATGGGGCAATGATCTCGAAATAATAATGAACAGATGCGGCCGAAAATGTGTTGAAATTATCCTTGAAATTTGAGGAATTGTACAAAGTATTGCCGTTTCAGGAATTTTTACTGAAATTTCGGTGAACAATGCAATAAATCTGAAAAAATTCCAATGTCTCAACCAAGAATTTGTCAATTTGTCAATTTGAATTATTTACACCCCCTCCATCCCTGATTCACATTCTCACAATGACAAAACACTGAATAACAACAAAAACAAATAAAAATGGAAAATTTTCGGCAAGTCGTGGTACCATTTGAATTTCAAGACATTTCATCATAAAAAAATCACAATTTGATGAAAAAATCAAACGAAACTGTAAATTTTACATTTTTCAGTTCTTGCTGCCAAAAAATTTAAGAATCCATAGAATGTTCGATGAAATTAAAAATTGCATGATTTCATTCATCACGTACATTCACGAAATTTTTCCTCCCTAAATTGAACTGAGCCAAGTAAATTGACTGGAAGACAATCCTCCGCCTACGAAAAATTCCAGTGCTGTTTAACTAAAATTAACAGAGATTTCTGGTAGAATTTTTGGGAAATTCTGTGGAAATTTCATATCATAACTGGCACTCAAAACTCAACAAGATGTCACAATTTCCAAAAAAAAAGTCGAACTGAGATTCCCCACTTCCCACACAAACAAAACGCAAAAGAATTCCCACTCTCAACGAAGAAAAAAAACTGAAGCCAACAATATCCCAAATTCCATCATTTTTCCCTAAAAAAAAAACACTTCCAATCT